TTTTCTCTACATGTTTTAATTATTATTTTGAAGCGATATAAACTCCATTTTCTTTGCACATCTATTGTTTGTGACCTTTAGACTTTGGGCCGGTGAGCGCTGTGACTATTCTTAGATTTCCTACCTCTGTAACTTGGCTAAAGGAATCCCTCTGGCCCTCTCCTGGAGTTGGACAAACTCTGGAAGCTTCCTTGCAAGGAGGAGAAGCTTTATTCCCTGAGGCTGTATGGAGGAAGGAGCGCATTGGAACCAGGTCGAGGTAAATTCTGTTGTCGGACTCCCGCTCGGCATCTCTCTCCTCTTTGGTATTGTCCTGCTTAGTTTCATTGTGATTGTTTTCCTCCTCGCAGTTTAGCAGGGCGTTCTCCTCTGCATCCTGCATCACATGAATGTCGGATGTTAGTAATGGAAAGCAGCCAGATTAAAAAGTGAAACTGAAAGTTGCATAACCCATCAGGGTTTATTAATTTCCACGCCTACCTCAGGATCAGCTATTGATGCAACATCGTCGTACAGCTCATCAGAGTTTTGAGGAATGGAAGGAAGAGTGTCTATGTAGGTATTTGACTCTGAATATCTCCTTTGCATCAAGCTACAGAGAAACACATGCATAGATCTCACCTAAATGCTGCATAGTAATAGAAAACCTTTCAGGTCAATCAAGGTTAACTTACTAGAAGGACGTCTTTGCAGCGCTGACGATGCTGGAGACCCTTTCAGAGTTAACATAGTCATACGTCAGGTCCTCCGGATCCGTTTTGGTTCCCGTCTGTGACAGCAGGAGGCCCAACCAGTGACCCATATCTGCTGATGTTTTTGCCTAAGAGAAGGGCAGGAGGAGGAATGTGCACTCAATACAAAACAAACACTTGCAACATCCTGGGTCTAAAGCCGCATGGATTTAAGTTGCATGCCATCCGTTGCTTTGGCTAATGAAACGATTGCTACAACAATGTTTGAGTCAAGAACTGTTTGCTACTGATGATTCCTTACCCTTCAACTAGCATAACAGCTTCAAACTTCAATGTAATTCATGCATTCAATGTGGTAGACTAACTGTATTCAACCCTTTAAACCTTATACCAGCAAACGAATTCCAATGTTAGGGGGAAATCTAAAGTAGGGTTGGAACCTAAACAAAGTCTAAAGGTTTAAGCTCTGTCAGATTAGAGCAAAATGTTGCTTTTGACTTCAAAGATCTATTTGAAGTATGAAGCTAAGGTGAGCAAACCACAGTGGTGATGATGGCGGCAGCTTTTATGGTTTAAAAACTTTTTACTTCATCAGAGACAGAGAAACTTTTCATACTGAAAATGCTGCAAAAGATTTAAACTAACTCTGATGTTCACCTCTCAGCAGGATGACCCTTAACATACAGGAAGTCAATGGTTCTGCTCAAAGCATGGTGCAGAATGGCCTAGTTAAATCCTAAACATAAACCAAACAGATCAACTGTGTCATTTGTTGTACACTGGTGTTCATAGATGCTATTCAGATCAAAGGGTGTTGTAGCAGTCTGTAGCTGCAGTTAAAATCGTTCCATAAATTATCCTGAGGGGTTGGTGAGGGGGAACTGTATGTCGTACTTTTCAGATTTCTATTAAAAAACCTTAAAAAAGTTTTTTCTTTGTGTAGATTTAGCAAACAAAATCTTCAGTTCCTCTTTCCGGTTTGTGATGACTGTAAGTTTTAACAGAGATGAAGCAGATTAAGGCCAAAACTGCTACTTGGAGACTTTTGTGACCCTCTTGTTTGAAATGTATAAAATGAAAGTAGCAGATTTGAGTATGCAACCATCTTAACATCTCAAAAAACCATTGATGGCTTTGGAAAAATAAAAAGGAGGGCCTCAAGACTTAAAAAAAAGAAATTCCAAAGCCTATGACCAAATGTGCAGCTGGGGTGGTACTGAAGGACTAATGAAAGTGGGTGTAGCTGTAGCCTCTGTAATCCCAGCACAACCACACCCTCACATCCATCCATACACACACTCTCCAACACACAGGACCACCCTCACGGGCATCCAGCTCTGACATCCACAAAGTCAGATGTCAGCGGAAACTCTGCTAGGGCCTGTGTTAGACCGTTCTTGTTTATCAGATCAAATTTAGGAAAGTCAGCGCGCATGTGAAAATAAGCAAGAGAAAGAAAACACACCACATCTGATCACATATCAAGATCTTTTTTCGACAACCTTTGCTAAATCAGCACATAGAAGATACAGCACGGCTCAGCAGCTGAAACCCGCTGTGCTGTGGTCACGATAAAAATGACACTCTGCAAAAAGACTCAAGCATCTCCTGTTAGAAAGAATACATTCAGTATTTATCTACCTCTAAGGTTGCAATCTGCGTGCCGTCCAAGTCGATGCGGAAGGAGTAGAGATGCTCGGGGCTGGGGTCGGGCGAGACGCTGCAGCCCTCCAGGGTCACCGCTGGCTGGCTTACTTTGTTCTTTCCCTTGTCTTGGTAAAACCACAGCTGGCCATTCTTTATGAGACACCAGCAGGTCCGCCACTGGCTGTTCACCAGTACATTCAGGTAACCTGGAAGAAGATCAAAGAGAAAACCTTAATCAGAAGACATCTGTTAAAAAAAACTTAGTTCTTAGAACCTCAGGTAATAGCTGCTTCGTAAAGAGCCAGAAAGGGGCTTTTAAATTGGATTTTTCAAAGTAAAAGCATTTCCAAGAGCTGTAGAAATGCCTCAACTACTAAAGCTTTTTCTATTTGCATGTGTTAGAAAGGGGAGTGGTTTGCAAAATCATTATTTTTAAAGCTACCTTTAAATGTCTAAGAGAAAATATAAGGCTGTTTGCTTGGAAAATAGCAACAAAAATGAATTGAGGCAATTATTGCTAATCAAAACTAACAAAGTCGTGAAAACTAGAATGAAACAAAAATGATTGTTAACTAAAATAAAAATAAAAACCTTGCATTGCAGAAAAAATTAAAAACAACCTGAAATTGTAATAAGAATTTACAAAAGCAAAAAACGAACTGAATTTTAAGAGAGAATGTGTTTAGTTTTCAGTTGTGTCTTTATCATAATGAATTAATATTATGCCTAGTTTACTGTTGCTGTTTTAGCTTTCTTTTTCCCCCTTTGTACAGCAATTAGATCATTTGTGTTGCAGGAGTGGTCTGTCCTTAGCTGGTATTTAATTTATTTTTTTTTTCTTTTTCTTGACCCCGGTATGCAAGTCATATTACATTAAAAGTATAGTGGAGGATTTTCTTGAATTGTTTTAAAAGACCTGCTCTCTCAACATGCACATGCACAACCCTGTACCTACACCCGAGAGGGAAGGCCTACTAAACCTCTTCATTAAATCTTATATGGAAACAGGAAAACTATTCCCTCGGTAGTTTTCTTATATAACCGATTAACAGGTTATGACTTCTTGAGGATTTTGCTCAGAACCTGCAAAATCCTCAAGAAGTCATATCTAAATATACATTGAATTATTAGCACAACATCTTAACAGGAAACCACATCAGTCGGAACAATACGTTTAATTTAGACTCTGCCTGTGCAGGTTGACTGTAATATATATTAATAATGTAGAAAATTTCTTTCAAAGAAATTGAGTTTGGTGTAAAGCAGAATGCATGGTTAAAGTTAAAAGTTAAAGTAAAAAACCACCAGCGCCGTCATCAAGTGATCTTTGTTTACCTGATGTGTCGATGCTTTTCTCAGGGCTCTCAAGTGCGGATGGTTTTTTCTTCCCGATGTTCATCAGATTGCTGAACATTAAACCAGGGCCATATTTTTTCTTCACTGTATAAACCAAGAGAGGAAAAAGTACTTCTTGAATCATTGCTAAAAGTGTCCAACTGTTGTAAATTTAAAGGATCTCACTCACCATCTTTGTTTTCTGTGATTTCATTGTGGCTGTCTGTGCTGCTGCCGCTCTCTGAAGCCAGCGAGTGTCTCTCGTTCTGATCGCCCTGAATATTTTAATAAAATTAATGCATTTCAAAGCCTTTTTTTCCCAAGTTAGAGAATAAAAGCAGGTATTTATGATCCCACTGGTTTATCTTACACCCTAGAGCTGTCCTTCATATTATGTCTGCTCACATTACATGTAATCAAATATTCACAGAAGCATACCTTAGTGCAAATAAGCCTCGGGGAGTCTGACCCAGGATGTTGAGGGTCACAGCTTTCAGCTGGCTTGGGACTTATTTCTTGAATAACCTAATGTGTGTTAAAATATGCATGTTGTTTTTTTTCCCCCACTATCAAAACTATTGGAAAATTTATCAAAAATCAAAAGGAAACACAAAACTGGTCACCTTTAGCCACTGCTCAGTCTGTTCTTTGCTCTGCAGGCCCAGCACAATGGCCTCGCCTCCTACTGGGATGATCTTCAGCTTGTGTTCTTTTTTCTTGGGCTGCTTTTCTTTGTAAATAACAGTGCAGCCTAACAGACTCACGTCCAGCAGAGGCGTCTGGTCCTTGGAGCTTTTGTAGCACTAAGGGGAAAAAAAAGAAGAAAGAAACCAACATGACTTCATCTCTTTAGTGCTGACATGCTACAGCTGAGAAGGTTACTGAGGTTTGCAGGAATGTGTCTGTACACAGCTTTCTAAAGTTCCCTTCGCTGCGTTTCAGTCATGTTGTGGTCTGAGAAGAACATTTGAACACAGCAGATTTGTCAGCGACTGAAATCCTGATTTTGATTTAATTTATTAGTTTTTATACTGAGGACTCAGGTAGGCCTTCAGCAGAAGAATGAAGTCCATGAGAAACACCAACCGTAAATGGGCTCAGGTTTTGTAGCTGCATAAACTTCCCAAATCATCATCCTTCCACCACCGTGCATTACAGGTTGTTCCAGTTCATGTGCACTATGGTCAAAAAACCCTACCTTGATCTCATCTGTCCAGAAGCTACGGAGGTCAAAATGGTTTTATTTGGTTTCAAAACCCTTTGGTAAACCTTAGCATGCCAAGAAATTATTTTTAATAAAGAAAATACATTCAACCATTCAAAAATACTGATTTATTTATTTTAACGGACTTATTTACTATTTATTTTAGGTTATGGAAATCCAAACAATCCAAAAAGAGCCAAGTAGAAAAAAAAATAAATAAATAACAGAACTTGTCTCTTTGTTATTTTGAGAACCTGAAGAACTACAATCCAAAGAAGTAAATCTAAATAAGTCATTTTTTTCTTAAAATAAATGCATTTGTTCTTGAACTGGGGAGGTAAGTGAGACACTTTGCCAATGGAAACAGGATAATTTATATTTAAAATACTCATTCTATTGGCAAATCATCTTATGTACCTACTCAAATTAAGGGTAAATACACTTAATTAAATTTTTACATATTTTTAGATCCCTTTTGCAGTGTGTATCAACCAAGAATGGACCTGCAATCATTAAACATTTTCTGAGTGCAATAGTATTTTAATTTATTTTTACTACCAGATAGACTGATTCTGTTCACAGAGAGGAAAGAAAAAAAAAACTCAGATGCTGATGTTTTCCACCCATCATCTGCAGCCTTTTAACCCACCAGAAGGCGATGGTCTTTGATGACACAGAGCTGTTTGGCCCACTGGCCGAGCCACTTTTTCCTCCACAGGAAGGCACAGATTCTGGCATCCTTCATCAGCTCGATGGAAGCCTCAGCTGAAGGCCACTGGTGCTGCGCTGATGTCGACTTCTCTCTGGTCACCTCCTCCTCATCGTAGGACTCATATGAGCTGCTAACCGCGTCTGCATCATCTAAGAAGACAAAAATGACTGTTTAGACATTAGAAATGTCATCAGGTGAAAGATGGGTGACATGAGAGCAAATTCTTAAGCAAGCTGAATGAGTTGGATGAGTTTGAATGAGTTAATGAGCTTGATCTTCTGACCCTCTTGAATGAGGCATTTCCTCACGAATCTTAAGATGATGGGTGAATTTTAAAAACAGATGGATGGTTGGCAGGAAGACCGATAACAGGTTATGAAAACAGTCAAACAGCACATTCAGGAATCCCATAAGCCTGATTAATGGCAGCAGCTCCTTTACATGCCACGCTCTCACCATGCTGGTTTCCCGTGCATGTTTTGGGTGACACAAATTCAAAACAAGTGCACACATGCCACAGAGTACATGAGTCCCATCTACCCCCAGTGATAACAGCATAAAGCACACTGTCTGAGCTGTGTACTCTCATCCAGGGCTCAGAGAGGAGGCCAGAACACACCAGATCTGCACAGCATCAAAAGAAATATGGAACATTTTAGAGGGAAAAAATATAGAATATTAATTATTATACAATAATTAAAAATACAGAAAATTGTACATGAGTGAAAAAAATCCAAAAGGTCCATCTCCAACTGAACAGAATTAGATTTTACTTCCACTGTTGGTTCAGCCATGATAATTTTTTCATGGTAATAAAATGCAGTTTCATGTTTTTATGGAAATCATACATACAGTATATTTCTAAATCTGACCAACAGCTTTTGAACAAATCAGTAACCTTCTGTTCAACAGCATTATATATTGAATACATTGACTACATAATCCTAATTTAATACCAACCCTGAAAACTTTTATCAAAAAATAAAGCTGAAGAATTTGGGAATTTATACCTTTTTTAATTCATAATTTCTAACTTCCTGTTTTCAGCTATGCTACACAAAGGCCAATATTTATTCAATAGAGACCATGCTAATCTGACTAAGTCTGTAACCTTCCCACATCTACAGTTAAATAAGTAATTAATAAACATAAAAACAACTAAAACTGGAAAAAAGCAGGAGGAGAAATTGCACTATTTTTTACACAGAGACAAGAATAGTAAGATAGAGGAAAAATTCTGCTTTTAGAGAATCGCTACCAGAAATCGTACTTCAGGAAAATATCTTCAGAAAAACCAAAAGATGCAATCTGTTGTTTTCTATCCCACCACAACTGTAAACCTGTAGAGACTGACTTCATAAAATGATTCTAAGTGAAACTCTAGTGTGTGATCTGATCAGATGCACTAAGATTGATTGTTTCTGTAAGCGGTTGTGACGCCAATTAAAGAGAAAACCCAGAGATGCATAACTTAAGGTCTGTGCAAACAGAAACACAAAAGTTAACAACTAATAACAGGGTCATTATTTCATATTTGCATAGTTCGAAGACCCAAACACATTAAAAATCTATAAGTTAGCTGAAAACAAAAGAGCATAAGAGGGGACTTATTGTCTTAAAATGAACTGTTAATGATCCTGTTAAAGATCAATATGTCAGGAGACAGCAAAGTTTAACATTTTTGTCAAAGCGATTGTAAAGTATTTGGTATCAATAATTCCAACATTAATTATTAAATAATAAAAGAGTTACTTTCCTCACTTAACCAGATGCTTAGTTAGAAAGTAACTAGGAAAACAAAACAAAAAAAGCTCTATTAATAGTTTATTTAACTGCATTTCCGACCATTTCTAAGGTTGAAATCTTCTTCCAATCAGTCCCTGGAAATAAACAGGTAACTTGAGTATTTCAATGGATAATGTGCAAAAAAACACCAATATTATCAATTGGAAATGCCATCTGCAGTTAGTCTGGTCACTGAGGACAATAATTAGGAAACCCTCCTCCTTTCTAAGTGCAAACAACAGTTATTCTTTAATATTCAAGACATAAACCAAATGTTTTCTCCATAATACACAGCTAGTGTTACAGTTGTGATTTCCTGTTTGTACACCCAATCAAATAAGGTTGATTTGAATCATACCGTGATTATACTGGAAATGCCTCTGCTTTTCAGAATAAAGTGGCTTATTTTTGGTTCAATTGTTTTTCAATGTAAACAATACATAGAAAGTTACAAGACAGTTAAAAAAAATTGTAAAGTAAAAAAAAATGTAAAGCCAATATAACTATGAATAGTATTTAAGTCAGTATTACTATTGGTTCTTATGTATTACTTTTCATTCCGTTGCAAGCTACAGATATGCCACTATACATCACTAAATCTTACAGTGTAATTTTTAAAGGCTTTGTAGAAAGACAGGAAGTGTTTCAGGTAGGATCTTACCGTTGACTGTTTCCTCATAGGGCTGAGCCTCCTCATAGTAGCTCTCTGTAGATTCTATACAGGCTGGAGCTGGAACTGGAGGCAAGGGGAACGGTTCCCGACCCACCACACCCTGACAAACCAGAGAAATCTGGTGAAACATTTTTTAGTTTGTAACATTTTAGATTCTGATTTGTTTAATGTAATCATGCTTTAATTTAATTATAAATGAATGGTAAGTAAAGCAAAAGCAACATCCTCATGTTTTATTCATGTTTTTATTCCTGCAGCTTGAATGTCTTTTTAATCCAGCTGCAGCTTTGGGAGTAATAAGGGAATTCCTCCTGTAACCAATCCTCGTCTGACCCAGTGCACTAGGAAGCAAAATGATGCCTTCAGGAAAGAGTTTGTGAGAACAGAGACAGAGGAAAATGGTGNGTGTGTGTGTGTGTGTGTGTGTGTGTGTGTGTGTGTGTGTGTGTGTGTGTGTGTGTGTGTGTGTGCACCAAGTGGGTTTTCCTGAAATCAATCAGCAGTCTGGCTTCACTTCTGTCTTTCTTGTCATCTCCTGTGTGGCAGACCAGCTGTCTACTCCATGCCAAGCACCCAACCAAAGACAGTAAATTAGCCACTCAGTCCCAAACACATTTCACAGACATCTGTTATCACATGAAACTGTTTTATTTAGCCTCACCAAGGAGCAATATTGGAGTTTTTGGGGAATCTTTTCTAATGGAGGTTTGAATCTGAACAAACTGATCCTTCTTTTTTAATTCAAAAATATTCAAATACATCAAAGCTTAACAGTGATGTAATTTAAAAGTTTTCGTACTGCTTAGAATCGTCTAGATTACATGACATTATAAAGCCCCTGTCACAACTTGACCATTTAGAGCAGCGTGTGCCGGATATATCAAAAATCTGAGAAAAACGCTTGCAAACGTTGCATAAGTTATGGATCAGTTTTGTATAAGTTTTGAGCGCGTTGAAGCACACTTGCAGATGTCGACAAATGGCAAGTATTTAAATTTCTCAGCGTATGCTTATATGTGGGCCATAAGTTACAGGTAAGTTATCTAATATGATTGATATCCGGTAAGTGTAAGTTACTCATAAGTCGTGGCATCAAGCTTATCCAAAACCGATGATGAAAGTGTGCATAGCTTATGCATAACTTATAAAAAACTTATCTCCAATGCATATGAACGTATCTGATGTGACCCCTGGATGCGTTTCTAACTTACAGCTACCGTATAGTGGCGTATTGGCAGTGTTTTTGTATAAAATGGGTTCACAGGAGGAAACCGTCAGTTCTCCTTCAGACGTTTCACAAAAGATGGAGGATCCGGCAAGGATGAGACGGGAAAATAACTTCCTAGCAGACATGACGCTGAATCTGCTGTGACTGCAAACCTTATTTTTTATTCATATATTTTATCTTTTTTGGCCGGCGGTAAACGGCAGCTAACGGCGATCAAAGACATCTTTTTGCATCTTTCCAGGCATATTGCTGCCCCCCCCCCAGGACAATGGCTTTTGACGTTTCATGGGCATTACGCTGCTGTGCGTTATGGATAAGTTAGACTGGACATAAGTTCTGGACTCATTATGAATATTCTATGCATATGCCCAAAACTGAAAAAAAAAGTTTAGCGTATGCCAGCAGTTTAGAAGATTCTGGGACGTCAGGCACACGATAACTAAATCGTCAAGGTGTGACAGGGGCTTAACATAGGCATGTTTCTACCATTTTGCACCTCTAGACATGAACATTGTTCTCTAACTTAAGCTCAGTCAGGTTGAATGGACATCAGTGCACATCAGCTTTTAGGTCAAGTCAAAGCTCATCTATTGGGGCGTGCAGGTAGCACAGTGGTTAATGTCCATGACCCATGTACGGAGGCCTTAGTCCTCGACATGGCCGTCCCGGGTTTGAATCCGACCTGTGGTCCTTTGCCGCATGTCTCTCCCTCTCTCTCATAACCCCTTTCCTGTCAGCCTACTGTAGGAAAAACGAGCCACTTTTTGCTTTGACTGAATGTTTATATGAGTTTTCCTTCTATTTGGTGAACCTCTCTTTCAATATCAAGTTGTCTTTTTTTATCCCAAACTTAAAAAAACTCTTTAGACTCTCCAGGTAAAGAGCTCAGTCTGACCCATGTTCTTGAATATTTTATAAACATTTCCAAAATGTCTGTAACTGATGTTCCCCTATCTGACCTTTTTGCTTTTATTTTGAAGATATGACTCAAAATGACTGTGATGCTGAAACTTTAACCAGATTTACTCCTCTACCTCAAACTTGCTCTGTAAGTACAGATGAGCCAGTAGATACATTTCACTATAATGTTTCAGACATTAGTGATTTAATTGCTCCAATTTGAAGTAAAGGTTTTTTCTTAGAAGTAAATTTATCCATAGAGAGATGCTTGGACAGCCAGAAGTAAAAAAAAAAAGGGCTAAAATAATGAATGCACATGGCTCAAGTCTGAAATCAAAGTTCACTATAGCATCTATAAAGATAGACATCAAAGATATAACTCACAACTGGAAAATGCAAAAACATCTTTCTTCTCTGAGATCATCATCAGAATAACTGACAATGCTCATGTCTTATTTGTCATATTCAGAAAGTTATCAGACCCTCCTCTAACTTTAACATCTGAACTCCACTCTACCAGGCCCTACAATACATTTGGTAATTTGTTCACTTTTTAGTGATAAAATAAGCAAATTTAATGAGAGATTAGATATGGCTTCATGTGACTCCACCTCCAATGTGACCCTCTGCTGAAATGTCTGTCTTGTGTTACATGTGCTTTTCTTGTGCTGAGGTTTTTTATATGTTAAACTGTATCCTGACAAGGATAAAGTGTGAAATAACTGAAACTGAAATCTCGATTGCAATGTAAATTGTAGTTGACCATAAAGTTAATTGATTGATTGAGGTAGTCTGTATTACATATCAAGTCCAGTACCAAAGATGTCCCAAACTAGAATTGATCATGGAAAAACGACCCATTTCACCAAATAAACTATAAAACATCAGATTAAATCATACACCAACAAAACTCTTCCTCCTGCTGTCTCTCCTGGAAAACCAGGTCGGCCTTTCTGGTCCAGTAGCTGACTGTTTTACATCCTACTTGAAGGACAGGGACTTTTTTATGTCAGTAGGTAACTTTACATCAGAGACCATAAAAATCCCATCTGGCATTCCCCAAGAATCCATCCTAGGACCCCTCTTACTCAATATCTACATGCTCCACCTAACTCAGACTATAAACAACATTAGTTACCATGACTGTGCAGATGACACACAGCTATATATTATGATGTCATCGGGTAACTATGAACCCATTTGAGCACTGGGTAAATGCATATGAGACATCAACAACAAACAGCACACAGCTTCACTTAATACAGCTAGAAACCACCAATCAGGTTTGAAACCTTGGTGTCATGATGGACTCAGATCTGAACCTTCAAAGGCTCACAAAGACAATAACAAAGTTGACCTTCTATCACCTAAAGAACATCTCCAGGATTGACTGACTAATTTCTCAGCAGTAGTCGGAGGGACTGGTGGCGCCAGTGTACGGTAGCCTCTCTTCTGTCAGTGAGCCCCAGGGCAACTGTGGCTACGATGTAGCTTGCCACCATTAGTGTGTGAGTGTGTGTGTGAATAGGTGAATGAATGACTGAATGTAGTGAAAAGCTCTTTGGTCAAATCCTCTGGCTTGAAAAAGCATTATATAAGTACAGGCCATTTAGCATTTATGACCTTGAAAAACTAATACATGCATTCATCTTTAGTAGAATTGATTTCTCCAACTGTGTTGCAGGTTCCGGCTAAAAACAGGATCATACAGCTGCAGCTGATCCAGAATTCTGCTGCCTGCATCCTCACCAGAAATAAAGTGGAGCACATCACCCTAGTTCCAAACTCAATTAACTGGCTCCCTGAATCTCAAAGAATAGACTTCAAATAAGTTTTTCTAGTCTTTAAAGCACTGAATATCTTAGCAACTAAATACAACATAGACTTGCTGTAAGTGTATCAACCCCCCCAGACCTCTTAGTTCTTTTGACTCAAATCTACTCTGCATAACCAGAACAAGAACCACGCTTGGAGAAGCTTACTTTGAATCGTCATGCCACTGAAATGGGCTATATTAGTAAAAATTGGCTGCCTCTATTTAGTTTTATTTCAGTATTGCCCTGTATTTAGCATCATCTATCACTAACGATCCTGAACCTGTTGAAGAAAATGATTTCCCCATGATGATGCAGACACAGTGCTTTGCACAAGTTTGGATTTATCTCATCCAACCAGATAGAAATCTTTTGTTTTACTAATTGCAACTCATTTATTGAGATCTGATTCATAAAATGTAAGACAAATAGCTGTACTTTCAACAAACTGTCCTACCTGGGCAGTATGTCTCAAAGATAACTGCAGATTAGAGATACAGCTGGGTCATTATTGGATTAAACAGATTTATCAAATTTTCGGTAAATGAAGATTACATTTTTTTTTTTATTGAGTTATTATAAAGTATTACTGTTTTTTTTTCCACTAATGCATATCTTGGGTTTGTTCTTAGGTGTCTACTTACAACTCATTGTAAAATGTTTTAGAAGCATTTCTACAGCTCGAATTCATTCGCCCTTTAAATTCAGGTCACTTCCCAAAAGAGATGATGAAAATAAAACTAGTTTTTGAGAGTATTGTCTTACATTTGTCATTTTTATTCTTAAAAAAAAAGATTAATCTGACTTAAAAGAAAAATATCAGAAATTAGACGTTTAAGCCATGTTGCTTCGCCCTAATTATACAAAAGATCATTCAAATGCTGAAACAGTGAAAATTTTGTTAAAAAAAAAGATATATATAAAAAAGAGACACAAAAGGAATGAAAAAGACTTCCGTGAATCGCTGAACAATGTTTTTTCTGTTGCAACATTACAGATGTTTGCATGCAACAAAGAAAGCTTTTTTGTGACGATTACTCATCATTACTTCAGCAATGCTCACTTTTCTCACTCCGAGCCTATTTTGAAATAATCCCCTGATCTCAGAAAAAACAAGCTTTATCCGATCAACTTGGGCCCGCTGGCACAGTAAGACAA